TGGTCAAAATTGGGCCAGTGGTTCTTGAGAAGAAGTCGAAAATGTGAAAAGTTTACAGATGGACAGACAGACGGACAGACAGACGGACAGACAGACGGACGGACGGACGACGGACAAAATGTGATCAGAAAAGCTCACTTGAGCCTTCGGCTCAGGTGAGCTAAAAATATTTAAAAGTGATTCTAATATATAGAAAAATTCAACCAATATGAATCATTCTCTTATACAAACACACATTTGTACTTTCACCTATCAATCGCCCTATGACACTATTACAAAAGATATACGGGTAAGATATTTTCTTCATCTTAATGAGACAATACTGGCAAGTCCGAGCAAAATTTCAGTCCTCCAAAAATTGTCCACACCTCCTGATGTCCGTCGACAATTTTTGATTTGAAAGTTGAGACGAAAGAAAAAATGATCCGGTCACTGTATCAATTTTTTTTTTCTACAGCGTTTTTTTTTTCCTTCTCTATCTCTACGTCCCAGCCTGAGTTTGTATGTAATATAAAAACATGGTGGTTTGCCTCTGTTCACTGACACAATAGTTAGCAAGTTCAGTCCACGTGTTTGTTTTTAAAATTTTCTTTTTGGAGGATCTTAATCGCAGCAATGGAAGCCGACAGCACCACCATTTCCCCAACGTCAGTGAGCCTCACGATTCTGGAATAATAACGTACCATTATAACGAGTATATAAACGTATATCACCCCTACAGACATAGCATCTTATCATTATTCAGGAAGGTTAGAGAAAATCTAACAAGTGAAACATATCTTAAGTCCATATATAGTGTGTGTATACTGAAATACAACTATTATTTGGGTCATCTTTTAATCGGTATTCTTCAGTTTAAAATTAATCTGTGACAATGAATTTCCGCAACCTATCATGAACATTTTCCACACATACAAAGCAAAATTAATATTTTTTGCAAGTGAAAGAAGGTTTCAAACAATATTTCTTGCTAACGAATAAAAGTTGTTTGGCATTATTTTCGCCTGCTATAGCCTTTGTAGGTGACACCCACCTGCCTTCTGAAGAGCCTGCTAAAAAGCCCACCCCGGGGCGGGGGAGGGGGAAGTTCTTCAATCAGGTCAGGAGGGGGGTCCCCATCTTCATTGAACACATTTAGTTCCTTAAAACAATCCATTTCAATCATCTAAAATAAAAACATAACTGCATTTTACAACCATTGTCAAACTGAAGAAGTAAAAAATCATATCAGTAAAAACTGTAGACGTATTACACTTAGAGAGTGCATCGCTGAACGTCTTGTATATAATAAATTAATATCCAACATATTAAGATAGCGCTTCATCAAATCTACGCTAACTTGTTGAAAACCTAATTTCCTCTAAATATGATACATCTAAAGTACCGGTGTAGCATAATATTTTGATACCGCGATATATTGAACCCGGGTTAGGGATCAACCGGTATTCAGTTGATTTCTGATATCACTGACTTTTATACATCACTTAAAAAAATGTGGTCTCCTGCTTTTTGGAAGAGAGAATTATTATTTATGGCAAATTGTAATTGTCTCGTCTGTGACGGTCTGTCCATACCAAAAAATAAAAATTATTTCAAGTAATAAAATTCTGGCCAAAGACTATGGTTTTTTTGAACTGCAATGAACTTAAACATCAAGTCATATATATTTAAAAATTCCAAATTGTGCCATTATATGTAACAAACAATAAAAAATGTATAAGTCCTGTCCTGTCTCTACTGGTGCAAAAGTTGCAGCCTATGATTACCTCATTCTGCCATGGTATTGATAAATTGTGTAAAACAGAAGTGCCATAGAACATGCTTATAATGAAGTACCAAGCACTAACAATTTTGATTTGCTATAAACGTAATTTGTTGTATCCGTTAAGTTCACAAAACATTTTAAAGCAATGTGGAATGAAACTCATTTCACTGTAAGAACAGTTCGTAATAAGCAGTTTCGGTATAACTGTGTTTTACTGTACTGACTCTGTGACGGCCTATCTTTACCTCATTCTGCCATGGTATGGATACATTGTAGTTAACAGTAGTGAGTTTATGATGAATTATGATTTATTTACCTCATTCTGCCATGGTATTGATACACTGCCCTTACTGAACTTTGTATAAAATGAGTCGTCCGTTGCGTCTAGGTTGACTCCTTTGACTGTGGAAAACTGCTCTATATCCAGGACATCTTTACAGTACACGGCTCTTTTCTGCAACATTAAAGAATTCATTATCAATTCAAAGTATAATATTAATGACTTTGCCATTAAATACCTGATTTATCAACTTTCAAGCATTGATTCAATTGAGCCTTTGTACCTCAGACAATACTGTAAACCAACTTTTATTCGCATGTGAGTAATACCCAAGAGTTTCATGACCTACTCTAACTCGCAACCCGAACCGCCCCGAACGAAGTCGGGGGCGACATATTGCGATTGTACGCATGTTTTTGTTGTCCAGGCTGTTTCTCGGAGATGGCTGGGACAATCTTCCTGAAACTTTACTCAAAGGACGATCACTGGCTGAAGTTGTGTTGTGTTGTCATTCAGTTTCAAAATGGCTACCATTGCCATGGAAACCTGCAAAAAGCGACGAATTTTGTCCGCGAGCGTTCTCTATGGTCCCTTGGACATTAGTCATGAAACTTTTTTTATATAAGTGATTACTGTAGATCACTAAATTTTCGCGACACCATATTTTCGCGAGATAGTCATTGACTCTTTATTAGCGAGACAAAATTTTCACGAATTGTGGTTATTGCTCTATATAATACTAAGGAATACTATTATTCGCGAGAATTAAATTTTTGCGAGTACACTAGCTGTCTCGCGTAATTACGCGAAAATAAAGTTCTCGCGAGTAAAAAGTGATTTACAGTAGTAATTGTAGTTGTGCGATTCGCATTTAAAATTTTCAAATACTGTAGAAGTACTTTTTTCCGCGTGGTATTAATTTACGCTATGTACGCGGTCACAAATTTTCCGCGGAAATTTGTCCAAGTGAACTTAATATAAATGTAAGTGATATAGTGACAGTGTAGAGAAATCTGCGTATTTTTCTACCCGCGGATTAAACAGAAATTGAGATTCCGCGGAATAATGACCCCATGGAAAAAAGTACGTCTACAGTAATCGATTATTGTCATGGAAACCAGGGGAAAGTGAGAATTCTTAAATCAAAGTACTGAAAGGACTGATACGAATTGATGGTTGTCCAAGCTTAGCTAATGGGTATTGTTTTAGTGATACAAAAAATGAAAGTCTTGTCTAGTTGGGGACGACATACGCTATTGCTTGCAATAGCAGACTTTCTAGTTCTTTTTTCTTCTTATTTCTTCTCCGGTACTTTTTTGTCCGCAAGTGTTTTAGGAGACTGTTCACCCAACTGAGCTAAAACATTTTGGGTTAATTGGTGTGAAGTGTAGGTGTGCGGAACGAAGGTCATTTTGCGCGCATGCATGCACGTGCGGGCGCGTGAAATTAGTGAAATGACATATATTTAATACAGCCATTACTTTGACATTTTTTTATGAAATGCCTTGAAACTCGTTATATAAAGATAAAATAATAGTGTAGATAATATGACACTGTCAAATTAGCAAGAACTCACGCGCATGCACGTTCGCTTCGCTCTGATTGGCTGAAACAAAAATCTCAATATCTTTTCTGTTATTTGACGAAATGCTTTGAAATTTTAAACATAGTCATGCATTAGGATATCCTACAGTATGATATATAACAATTGTCATAAAAACACGCGCATGCACGTGTGCTGCAATCTGATTGGCTTAAACTTTAAATGGCTGTAACTCCCTTGTTTTTCAACCAAACAGGATGGGATATAGACATAGACAGACATAAAGGACACCTACAAGAAGGGACGGTATAATCATCATGCAAATGCATGCACGTGCGTACACATGCAATGCGTTAAGTTACAAATGCACTTGATTTAGCGTATTTTTTAATACTTTTTGATTAGATACCTTAAGAAGAGATGATACAAACTTTTGTCAAAATGTTTGAAAATAACGACTTGAGTCATGCTTTAATGAATGAAATGAACAAGTTTCACCGCGTACTTTTTAACGTTTTAGTCAAATTTTCACAAAAAAGGAATTTGAAGTGAAAAATATTTGTAAAGATTAATAAGGATGGTTTCAGAGAGGCAAGCTTTTGAACATCATAGAAGGGTTACAATATCTTTATATTCTAGAAATATATTATATGCATCATTTTCAATGAAATAAGGCCAAAAAATATATACCAATCCAAGCATCCATTTTTGTTTGTATCATCTGTCCTTAATATAAGTTTAAAGTATTTTGATAGTGTAGGTAAAATGATGTCATTTTGCATATGCATGCAGGGCGCTCAAGTGCAGTGCAAAAATTTGCAATATACTTCGTATACTTAGGAAAAACATTGTTAAAGTCTAAGATGCAGAGTTTGCCTTATTAAATGAAGCCTAGAGGAATGAGGCACCAAAAGGAAGTTGGGGAGCATTTGGGGAACATCTGTTACGGTTCCCATTACAATCAGCCCTAGTTTGACTGTGTAAGGGGTGGGATTTCGGGATATGATTGACAGATGGGATCAGAGAATCTGTTATTAAATACAATTTTTAGAGATTATATATTGTTTAACGTCCCTCTTGAAAATTTTTCACTCATATGGAGATGCCATTACTTGCCTGTGGAAAGCTGCAAATTTTGTCCCATACTCGGCACTCAGGGCCATTGAGCAGGGAGGATTCTTTTAAAGAGTCATATCCCCTAATACCCCGGTTATTGCTTTGATCATTAATGCTATACTTCAATCAACAGAAGAAAACAGAAAACATCTTTTACTTTTTGTGAAACATTTATTGTTCTTTGTTGTTAAATAATGATTGTTGATGACATTTTGTATAAATTACACCTTACATCGTATGAATGAATACATATAGGATGGGGTCAACATATAGACTGACTAGAGATATATAGATATACTCAACAAATATGGAATTATCTCTTTAAACATTTGTTTTTGTTTTATATACTAAATGAGATACACCTTGCACAACAGCTGACGATTACTATTCATCCCTTTGGAAGAAGAAAAAAAAGAATGTTAATTGTGACGTCATCTTATACATATGTTTGTGCATGGTCTTAAAAAAAGAAATATCATGAAATAAATTGCGATAAACTGACCATTCAAGCCATAATTAAGGGAGGCAAGAAGTGTTTGGGGGGCTGTACATAAGCATAAAATGGCAAAATGAAAAGAAATGAAAATAATTTGCTTACATGTACAACTTCACAGCAATGACAGGTATTTTGTCAATGAATGAGCAAACATTGTATAATTAGTACATGTAGTATTAATATGGGTAAATGATTGCAAAATCTGATCACATTAATGAAAGGAAAACAAAACAATAATATATAATCAGGGGACATAACCTCATGCCTTGAAAGGGCCATAACTCATGAAACAAGAGGCCCACGGGCCTTATAGGTCACCTGAGCATTCTGCAACAACTTTCCAGTTATTGAATTTGATTCATGTTTTAAGCCAGATGCTATATGGCATTCACAATTTTGAAAGAGGCACCATTGATCATCATAACAATACACTTAGCAGTTGCTTAGGTTGGTTTATTGATTTAAATATGCCCAATAATAAGTTCATAGGATCTTCATGAACGTTTCATGAACATTTCATGAATAAAATGCATGAAAAATTCAAGGAAATTCATGAATTATTCATAATCACCTCGCAAGGGTACTGATACCCATACGCAAGGTAGGGGAAAAAAATGCATTCCAACTGATCAGTAATATTCAGCAATAATCAGTAATGCCCCTAACACTGTGAAATAAACCCCTGACCCTAGGTCCACACATTGCACAAATTTTAAAAAGGCACCGTTAAAATTGTTTATCAAAAAATAAATAAATGTTTTATAAATACAAGGGAGCAGATTTCAAACAATTAATTCATTTTCAGTATATAAGTAGAGCCCCACCCCCACCCCTGACCCTGGGGCCTTGAAATTCAAAATTTTGCAAGATTAGGGCCCTTGCTCACCATGACTATTTAGGTAGTTCATCTGCTTCATACCCAGTGACAGAGAAGAAAATATTTCAAAGATATAATGTATATTCACTATATAATCAATAGAGCCCCCCCCCCCCCCCCTGACCCTGGGACCATAAAATTCACAGTTTTGGTAGAGGCACTCTTGCTCATCATAACTATGTACTTAGTTAGTTTATTTAATACCTAGGAGCAGAGAAGAAGATTTAAAAAAATTCATGTATTTTTACTATATAATCAATAGAGCCCCGCCCTAACACCAGAACCCCTGACCCTGGGACCATAAAATTCACAATTTTGGTAGAGGCACTCTTGCTCATCTTAACTATGCACTTTGTTAGTTTATTTAATATCTAGGAGCAGAGAAGAAGATTTTCAAAGAATTCATGTATTTTTACTATATAATCTATAACGCCCCCCCCCCCCCAACACCAGAAGCCTTGACCCAGGGACCATAAAATTATTCATAATTTTGGTAGAGGCACTCTTGCTCATCATAACTATGCACTTAGTTAGTTTATTTAATACCTAGGAGCATAGAAGAAGATTTTCAAAATAATTCATGTATTTTTACAATTTAAATAATCTATAGAGCCCCCCCCCCCCCCAACACCAGAACTCTTGGCCCTAGGGCCATAAAATTCACAATTTTGGTAGAGGCACTCATGCTCATCATAACTATGCACTTAGTTAATTTATTTATAAATATCTAGGAGCAGAGAAGAAGATTTTCAAAGAATTCATGTATTTTTACTATATAATCTATAAAGCCCCCCCCCCCCCTACCAGAACCCCTGACCCTGGGACCATAAAATTCACAATTTTGTTAGAGGCACTCTTGCTCATCATAACTATGCACTTAGTTAGTTTATTTGATACCCAGGGGCAGAGAAGAAGATTTTCAAAGAAATCATGTATTTTCACTGTATATAATCAATAGAGCCCCGTCCAAACACCAGAACTCCTGACCCTGGGGCCATAAAATTCACAATTTTGGTAGAAGCACTCTTGCTCATCATAACTAACTACTTAGTTGGTTTATTTAATACCCAGGAGCAGAGAAGAAGATTTTCAAAGAAATAATGCATTATCACTACCTACTTATTTAGCCCTGCCCTAGCACTAAAACCCCTGACCCCAGGGCCATGAATTTCACAATTTTGGTAGAGGACTCAATGCTGATTACAATCATGCAAACAGTTTGACTGCTTGATGTCCAGGAGTAAAGAAGAAGATTTTTAAAGATTGCATTAATTGTAGTGGTTTTGGCCCCACCCCTCAGGCCCCAGGGGGGCAGGGATCATGAAATTCACAATTTTTGTTCCCCTTCACCCATAGATGCTTTGTGCCAAATTTGGTTGAAATTGGTTCAGTGGTTGCAGAGAAGAAGCTGAAAATGTTCAAAAGTTTACGAACGACGTACGACGTACGACGTACGACGTACGACGAACGACGACGGACGAAAACAGATAGCAATAGGTCACCTGAGTTTACTCAGGTGACCTAAAAATAGGCAAGAAACCAATAAGCACCAAGGTTATTTGCTTTGCCAAGTGTTGTGTTTCTTGTCTTAATGCTGACATAACCTGTTCCGCAGAATAAAGATAATCCTAGAGTAAAAATGCTACAAATACAGACCTCTGTCCTGCAGATTTTCAAGTGCCATGAGAAAAAAACAAATAAATAAATAACTTTTTTTTAAATCAAAACCAGAAGGAGTTGTTAGAAAATTTGTGTATCTCCATGACATAAACTGGATATCAAAAAAATGTTTGAAGTTGCAACACCGTCTATGATGTTGGTCAGTTTCAGAAAAAAAAGGGGGGGGGGTAATAATTATAGAAATTGCAGTAATTATGACCTCAGGCCATATCTACATTAAAAAAATTAGTATTCTGGTTTGTAAACTAGTCTAAAGGTCGTTCTTCTTATCAGTTTTAAGGATCTGCATGAAATACATATTTTGATGAGGGAATTTGAGGGGAAATCTGGTACCAGAATTCTTGCCTTTTTTTAGTAATAAAAAAAATCAGATTAAACTATATTCAATTTTAAACATAAGAATTTATCAGTTAAAACATCTGAGGCAGATATGTTTATGAATGCTGTATTGTAACATCTTAAACCTAGCTATAATACAGATGAATTTTCTCTTTTTTAACTCAACAAAAAAATATATACTTCAAGCTTACAAATACAGAAGTGAAACATGCATCAAATATTGGTTAAAATACTCAGGAAGCATTTTTATCAAACTCAATATTTGACATTTTCCAAATGTTCATAAGCACACAGAATAAAAATATTAAGATACATTGCACAACCGATGTTTGCCTTGCTAACAAGACATTTGGAACCTTATAGTCCTTCTTAAAATAAATAGTGTTAGTACACATCTTAATTGTTCAATCGTGCCAATACTGTGGAAATGTCTTTCCATCTTGATGTTTTGTCCACTGTGCTTAAAAAATTCTGCAAAAAGTGCTTCTGAGTCATGATGGTACAGGGACTGAGACACCCCAAGTACTATAATGATTTTACTACGTGTATTTTGTGTAGATATTGCTTTGGCATTCATCTCTCAAAAGAATTCTGAGAAATGTCCTTACCTACAAATACTGAAATCACTTAAATATTGAGCAACTTTTTTCCAGTATATATTTTGCATGAAAGAAAACGTGCAAAAGCCTTGGAAAGGAAAGGGTGTCGAATGCTAGAAGCCAAGCAAAGAAAACGTTTAATACATTGTACATATTAAAAAGGAAAAAAAGGGTTTAGCGCGCAAAGGAATATCAATTAAATACCCACTTAATAAAACCGCTGAAAAAAAAAATCAAAAATGACACAAAGAATATACCCACAAAAAAGGTTTGTTTCAGTGTGCTGGCAAATGAACTTTCAAAAACTGTGCATTTTTTTTCTTCAAATAATATTGAAATACAATGTCATCTGTACAAAGAATCAAGTAGAAAACTTGTACTGGATTCGGTTACAAGTACCATACAATAAATATTTTTTTCATTCAACAATTAAAAAATACAAGACTGAAACCAGCAGCCTAGTTCTATGAAGTTTTGTATTTTCATGGTTTGTCTTTAAATTCTTGAAATGCATTTGATATGACACAAACGTGTTTATGTATATACAAACATTTTGCTATAAAAAATATCTTTTAAATTAAACCATCAATTTAAAACAATTTATGCAGAAATTCAATGAATAAAATGCCAAATCATCATGAATTGAAAATCAAAGGCAATCTTTGTAAGGAATAAAAGGAAATCTTTCATACATTTTCAGCCTTGATATTTATAAAAATTCCAAAATATCATGCACTAAATCGGAATTCAAAGCTCCAAAATGCTCTTCATGGGGATTTACTAATTCCCAGTTTCCTGACAGGAAGTGATGTCATTTCTATAATTAAAACTGGAGATTCCCACTTGAGATTCTTTACAAACTAAACTTCATTATGACTACTTAAAGCTAGAGCATTGTCAGGTTTGAAAAGTCCTTTTTAATCTGATTGCAAAATAATGTTTCCAAGGGGAAAAAAGTGCAAATTTTCATGAAATCTGTTGAAAATAGTGTATTTTACTTAAAATTGGTGTCAAATTTAATTTTTTTCTTATACTTGTAAATTCTCATATGAAATCAATTCCAAATGGCTTTATATAAAATTGTTATAAAATGTTTAATTCAAGTGTGATCCATGATGTATTTCAGTTAATGTTGCACAAATTTCTCCCAAAAAACAACTCTCCCCTTGCTCTGATGCAGCACTAACAATTTGAATACAAATCCAATGGCAAATTGATCCTGCTGATGTAGCCTGCGAATGTTCCTAACTAAACATGCCACATTAGTCTACCTTTAACTATAAACCATTCTAGAAATAAGTATTTTAGCACTACTTTCATGTAAGTAATTTTTTTGACAAAAAAAGGACTCATAAATACACTGTAAATGGAATCCCTTGTAGAAAAAATGATTTTTTTTTTCTTCACCTTGCCTTTTCTCTTCTACTCCACGTCAAAATTATACCCTTGCTATAGAAATCTTTTCATACCATGATTTAAAAAATAAACTTGAAGATAAATCTCAACCAATTTGCAGGGGGAAAAAAGATAATACACTTAAACATTGGAATCATTTCATGAAAGAAAAAAAACTTGTCCACAGACTTTAAATTCCTTTAGAAGATTCAGAACCAAATTTATATTTCTAGGAAGCTGAAATTAATGGTAACTGTGGCAGAGGCATCAATAACAAAGGCTTTAGTATGGTGGATGGTGAATGTGTGAGGGGGAGGGGGGTCCCTCCTATGTAAAACGTTTAACACTTTTTGAAGTATATAATCATCACACACACATACAATAAACATAATTTGGGGGCAGGGCACAACATGAACATAGAATAATCTCTATCAATAATTAAAAATATTTAAAAGTGATTCTAATATATAGAAAAATTCAACCAATATGAATCATTCTCTTATACAAACACACATTTGTACTTTCACCTATCAATCGCCCTATGACACTATTACAAAAGATATACGGGTAAGATATTTTCTTCATCTTAATGAGACAATACTGGCAAGTCCGAGCAAAATTTCAGTCCTCCAAAAATTGTCCACACCTCCTGATGTCCGTCGACAATTTTTGATTTGAAAGTTGAGACGAAAGAAAAAATGATCCGGTCACTGTATCAATTTTTTTTTTCTACAGCGTTTTTTTTTTCTTCTCTCTATCTCCACGTCCCAGCCTGAGTTTGTACGTAATATAAAAACATGGTGGTTTGCCTCTGTTCACTGACACAATAGTTAGCAAGTTCAGTCCACGTGTTTGTTTTTAAAATTTACTTTTTGGAGGATCTTAATCGCAGCAATGGAAGCCGACAGCACCACCATTTCCCCAACGTCAGTGAGCCTCGCGATTCTGAAATAATAACGTACCATTATAGCAAGTATATAAACGTACCCCTACAGGCACAGCATCTAATTATTACTCAGGACAGTTAGAGATACATTCATTGTCTACCAATATCTTAAGTCCATATACTGTATGTGTATACTATAAACCAGCTATTATTTGGGTCATCTTTTAATCTGGATCAATCTGTGACAATTAATTTCCTTGACCTATGAACATTTTCCACACATATAAAGCAAAATAAATGATTTGCATGAAATTAACATTTTTTGCAAGTGAAAGAAGGTTTCAAAACAACATTTCTCACTAAAAAATAAAAGTTGGTTGAAAGTATTTTCTTCAAACCTGATACTGTAAACCAAATTTTATTCACATGCGAGAAATATCTGTGAGTTCTGTGACTGACTTTAACTCGTGAACATTAATCGCCGTTTACCAAAAAATTTTCTTGGTATTTGTAGAGAATATTTCTTCGGTCCAAAAAATCAATTGTCGCAGATTCAAATGGACACATTGCATATAAAAGATGAAATGAATAATAGTTGATTTACAATATAACCTCTGTAGATGACACCTACCTGCCTTCTGAAGAGCCTGCTAAAAAGCCCACCCCGGGGCGGGGGAGGGGGAAGTTCTTCAATCAGGTCAGGAGGGGGGTCCCCATCTTCATTGAACACATTTAGTTCCTTAAAACAATCCATCTCAATCATCTAAAATAAAAACATTATTGATTTTTACAATCATGATAATTGAAGAAGTAAATTTCATTTCCACAAAACTTTCAGTTGATTTCTTCACATTAGTTTTACTGAGTTTTATACTTTTATATAAGTTGACCAACTGAGGTCCCCTACTTTTGGTGTGTAATTGGCTGGATGCAATTATTTGAGGAATCTTGTCTCATTCCGAAGTAACTGGTATGAACAAAGTTTGTTTTTGTAACAGAATGACAGACAAATAAAATTTATAGTATATGCAATATATGCAAAAGCAGAAGACACAAAACTCCATATACATGTAGAGTAGATGCCTTCATACATTTTTGTACAAGTTTGTACTGATATGCTTGTGACATTTCACATTTGCAGTCAGTGCAACACTCTATTAATAAATCCACATCTAGTTGTTTCATAATGCATGTTGAAAAAGTAATATGTATCAAAGAAATAAATGACGACCTAAAATTCAACCCTGCACATTGATATACAGGAAAGTCTGATTCTAAACAAAAAAAAAATAGCTTCAATACTTTGTAAATCAATGTTCTTTTTATAGAAATACAGCCTACTCCGGATATATTGTAATTCAGGGGACCATGCAAATTATTTCAATATATCCGTAATTCAATATAATCGAAATCGTGAAGCCACCATTTTTTTAAAATTAAAAGTTCAATCCCGATCTTAAAATAAAGAACAAACCCGAACAAATTAATTTTGTCATTGTTTACCTATAACAGTGTACAGATCGCATGGAATATTAGTCCTTGAAAGTTTAATTAAAATTGTTTCTTTGTAATTCTTTTTTATCGATAAGACAATCTTCAACTTCATTATTATTCCCCTATCGCATTTATTTACATTTTGGAGAAAAATCACCGATGTCAATTTAGGTTTATCATTAGCCATTCACAGTACGTATTTAATTTGAAAGTTAAGTTTTTTCTAGATCTGTAGGGGTTTCTATGTTGCCTTTAGCCTAAATACTTCCGTATTATATACATGGAAACAAAGAATTTAGCAGTGAAAAATTTTATTTCGTAAGAGCATGCAGTATTAAAAAAACATAAGGTGCACGTGAAAACTGAATCATTCACACCTTTTTATATCAACTGGTCAGTCAGGCATAATTTCTGTCACCAACCGTAACGACAGCTGCCAGGGAGTACTTCAATATAACAGTTATGAAAACAACTCATTATCACCTGTGGGGACCGATTAGTGGCTTCAATATAAGAGAAATTTCAATATAGCGGATTTCAATATAACCGTTATTTTAATGCAAAGAGTATGAGAGTAAAAAACTGGGGATTTATTTTTATTTCAAAATAAGCGGAATTTCAAAATAAGCGAGTTCAATATAAGTGGAGTAAGCTGTAGTTAGTTTGTGACTGTCTGTGAATATCCTGTTCGACCAGAATGTATTGATGCACAGAAATAGTGAGTTTATGATGGACTATGACTGATTTACCTCATTCTGCCATGGTAT